ATGTAAAAAGGTGAACGTAAATCGTCTGGCAACAAAAACAATCTTAATTTAAACTGCTTTTGTATAGCTTCCTGTGTATTTTTTTCCAGACCACTCGAATTTTCATAAAAAACACAAAGAAAAGTAAAGACTAGTTTTTCTTACTACAGACACTCCTCACTTACCGACTGGGTTCCGTTCCTACGACCTGGTCGTAGAATTAATTGGTCTGTAAGTGAGGAGTTAAGGGATTCCCTGCTCTGCTGCATTCGGGGAAATGTCCCTGAATATAGACGAATGCAACAGAGCAGGGGGTCCCTCTAATCTATGTTCGGGGAAATTTCACTGCCGCCATTACCATTTATTTTTTTTACGCATACCCCCTGGGCCACTGAATTGTAGACTACAGCGAGTTGTCATTAATGGTAAATTTACAAGCTGGACAAAAGCGGTAAGTAGTGTCACTCAGTGTTCTGTTTTGGGACCGCTTCTATTTAACATATTTATAAATGATCTTGCAATAGGCATTGAAAGCCATGTTTTAGTGATTGCAGATGACACAAAACTTTGTAAAGTAATAAAATGTGAGCAGGATATTGCTTTGCTGCAGAGGGATTTAGATAGATTGGTTTGCTGCAGAGGGATTTAGATAGATTGGGGGACTGGGCACTAAAATGGCAGATTAAATTTATTGTAGTGAAATGCAAAATTTTGCACTTCGGGATCAAGAATGCACATGCAACTTACACCCTAAATGGTAGTGAATTAGGGATAACCACACACGAGAAGTATTTGGGAATTGTTACAGACAACAAATTAGGCAGCAATATGCAATGTCAATCTGGAATTGCTAAGGCCAGTAAGGTTTTGCCATGTATAAATAGGGGCATAAATTCTCGGGATGAAAATATAATTTTGCCTCTTTATAAATCGCTGGTAAGACCACACCTTGAATATGCTGTACACTTGTTCTAAAGAAGGAAATCATGGCACTGGAAATAGTGCAGAAACGAGCTACAAACTTGATAAAAAGGAATGGAGTATTTTAGTTATGAAGAAATGTTAAAAAAAATCTAAATCTCTTTAGTTTGCTGGCACATAGAAGTACTATATTTTTGCTGTTGTTGTTGTTTTGTCTTTTAACCCTTTAAGGACGGAGCCAAATGTACATGTTGTGAACAAAACAAAATGTAAACAAAACCTGGCATTTGCGCTACATGTCTGTCCAACCGTAATACACCTCTTTCATAGTAAATGCACCCACCCTTATTATATATCATTTTATTCAGGGGAAACAGGGCTTTCATTTAATATTAAATATTTAGCTATGAAACGTAATTTAATGTGAAAAAAATGGGAGAAAATAAGATTATTTAAAAATATTTTAGTTCTACATGACATTTTAACTGTCAATGTCATAATACTGTTTGCTTTTACCGCAATAAAATACACATATTCTTATTCAGCAAAGTCTCATGTGTAAAACAGTACCCCCTATGTACAGGTTTTATGACGTTTTGGGAAGTTACAGGGTCAAATATAGCACGTTACATTTGAAATTGAAATTCGCCAGATTGGTTACGTTGCCTTTGGGACTTTATAGTAGCCCAGGAATGAAATTTACACCCATAATGGCATACCATTTGCAATAGTAGACAACCCAAGGTATTGCAAATGGGGTATGTCCAGTCTTTTTAGTAGCCATTTGGTCACAAACACTGGCCAAAGTTAGCATTAGTATTTGTTTGTGTGAAAAATGCAAAAAAACGCCAATTTTGGCCAGTGTTTGTGACTAAGTGGCTACTAAAAAAGACTGGACATACCCGTTTGCAATACCTTGGGTTGTCTACTATTGCAAATGGTATGCCATCATAGGGGTAATTTTCATTCTTGGGCTACCATAGGGTCTCAAAGGCAACGTAACCAATCTGGCGAATTTTAATGTGAAAAAAATTAAACACAAGCCTTATATTTGACGCTGTAACTTTTGAAAACACCATAAAACCTGTACATGAGGGGTACTGTTGTACTCGGGAGACTTCGCTGAACACAAATATTTGTGTTTCAAAACAGTAAAAAGTATTGCAGCAATAATATTGTCCGTGTAAGTGCTGTTTGTGCATGAAAAATGCAAAAAAAGTCACTTTTACTGGCGATATCATCATTATTATACATTTTACTGTTTTGAAACACTAATATTTGTGTTCAGCGAAGTCTCCCGAGTAGAACAGTACCCCCCATGTACAGGTTTTACGGTGTCTTGGAAAGTTATAGGGTTAAATATAGTGCTAGCAAATTAAATTCCCTTTACTTTCGGCATGGGTTGTCAGGCAGGTCCCGCTAATTGTAATTAATTAAGATACCTAATTATGTAAAAATATTACATAAATATATATGTAGAATTAATACATGTATATATATACGTATGTGAATATATATGTATATATATATATATATATATATATATATAATTTTTTTAAAATATTTTTATTTACATATAGGTATATATAGTGATATATACGTATATATTTATGTATAAAGATATTATATATATATATATATATATATATATATTAATAGTAAAATACACCTAGATAGTGTATGTGTGTGTATGTATATGTGTATATATATATATACTTAGATCATATATATATAAAATTTATATATATATGATCTAAGTATATATATATATATTTTTTTTTTACACTTTATTAATTTTATTTAATTTATTTCCAGCCAGCAGGGGGACTACCTGTCATTACAGGCAGCCCCCCTGCTGGCAATGCTGCAGCCAGCTATCCCGGCCATGTGATTGTGAGGTCCTCGCAAGGACCTCACTCTCACATGGCCGCGGGGGCTGCCAGAAGGTCGGACGTGCCGCGGGGGGCTCCCTGGGTAAGTAATGAAAGACCGGAGGGCGTACTATTACGCCCGGCGGCGTTTAGAGCCGCCTAAAATAGGGCGTAATAGTACTCCCTCCAGTCTTAAGGGCTTAATTAATAACTTTTATTGCAGCTTGGAAATCAATTTAGTACAAACACAAAATAGTTATGTCACCTTAAAGTGATCCAAAAATCAGATAAACAAACAAGTTTTAATTCAAATTAAATTCATTACACTATTTTACAAAATTGTATTGCCATTTTTTTCAATTGCTTTTAATTTGGCACATTTGTCAAATAGTACATGCAAGGTTTAACCTCTTTAGCCAATTAATTTCCTAACCATGTACCATCTGCCGTATTTACTAAATTACATTGTAACACGGGCTGAAGAAATGGCTCAAACTTCAGAAGTAAAAAAAGCCAATTTGAAGCCAATTTTACCACAAAATGGGGAAAAAAAATCCTACTTGAATATAAAATGGTAATCAGATTTCTTCTTGGGTTAAAAAGCTATTACCCCATGGTTTAACTACTATATCCCTGAATATTCTGGTTTTTGTTTTTGTTTGTTTTTTTTTAAACCTCCAAACAAAGTTTAAAAATATATTCATGATGTGATTTTTTTAAAACTGGTTTGGCAGACAATTACACATCTTTATTGTTCTTACTGTAAATAAACCACATTTCTTAAATTCTAAATGTTTGACCTCTTGTCCTTTATACAGACCTGTTAATGATCAGGTTAGCAGAGAGCAGTTTGTACTGACCCTGTATATATTTCTAACATAGTATCATATTCCCTCTTATATATGTATTTTCCTAACATAAACACATTCATTTATTTAAGCCTCATAGCTGAAGAATTTAATTCCTTTTATAAATTTTGTAGCGTATCTTTGCACTTAAAACAGTGGTAGGAACCAGCTAAGTTGTTAAAACGTTGTGAAACATTTTGACTGCTTACTCTGGGAGGGCACCATAACTACTACAGCGTGATTCTTAATGTTAATTTGACATGATCTGTCTGTCATAAAACAATGTTAGTTACTACAAATAATGTTGTTGGTCACAATAAATTACTGATTATTATGCCTCAATTAACCCTCCAAAGATTTTGATCTATATTTAAATATTGGTACTACACCTGTTTTTCCAACCCTTTGAGAAACTGAGTTTCGTGGACCCCATCCTCTGCTACTAAATCT